GGTAAAGCCAGGAGAAAGACACTGCGTAAAAGATGTAGAACTAGTCTGAACTTTGCACCTCACATATATTTCTCATAAGCAAGAGGACAATCCATCGGAACACAACCTATACCTTTCCCAGACATTYGGGACAGGGAGCCTTGGACCTACTTCAGTTTCTCTTAGAGGCTGTGGGGTCCCTTGAATAAACCTGCACCATGGTTAAGCCCCCACCAAGAGCCCACCAGGTCTGAGATCTCATGGGGTAATGATGAGTGAGGAACCTCAGGAGATCTGTCAGTTCACAGTAGCGTGAGGATCTTGCCTCCTTCCAGAGGGCAAAGTAACACACATTTTGTCCACATACTCTGTTCCATTCTTTTTTATCTACTGACATGTTGCTGGAGAGCTCGGGTGGTGGAGCTGGCTGCAGCAGCTGCGGAAGACAACTGATCCCATGGTGCAGAAGTGCCACAAAAGCTGACTGGTCCTGCCAATCCTCATCTTGGCCTTCACATGTGGGATCTTCCGGAGCAAAATGAGATACAGGCAATGGACAGAGGGTATTTTAATGGTCTTGGAGAGAATCAGACTACACGGTGCTGCAAGGCTGTATGGGAACGCTGCCTTCGCTCTAGGGATGTAGGAGAATTAGGAAATATCTGTTATAAAACTTTCGAGAGCTTTTTAATATATGGCCACTTTGCTCTCCATGAGCTGGAGGGCAGCCAGACTTTATACTCACACCAGGGGTCTGTTTCGACAGCTCCTCTTGGTAAGCACAAGGCTGCAGCCTGCCAAGGGCTCACAAGAATCACTGTTCATGAAGCTAACGCGGTTACAGACTCCACTGAAAACTTCCATTTCCTTTTCTTTTACTTTTAAGCAGTTCTTGCAAGTCCTTGAAACACATGGGAAATTAAATAAATAAATCCCCTGACACCCAAATATAGAGAGGAAAAGGGAAACACAGCCAACTTGACCAAGATCTTAGTTTACAGAATGTATTTTAAGGACTGGCAAAGAGTCAACCATATGGCTGCAAAGCTATATGGAGGTTAGATCTAATGTATAATAAACTTGACAGTGCTTCACTAGCCAAGTAGGGTGTTATTTTTCCAAACTTGGCTGTTTTGAAAGAAAAGACTAATCTATCTTTTCAAATTTATCATCAACATGTGTGTGACCAGCTCCTATCCACATCCTTAAACATATTCCAGCTACGGTCAGGGGCTCGTGCAGTAACATACTGAGCATGTTACAAGGCTTCTCTATCCTCATGCAAACACATCAATGTGAGATACTTATTTTACCTGAAATTAAAAGTTAGACTTTCACTGTTCCAAGCCCAGCTGGGTAGCGGATTGTGGCAGATATCACTATAAATCCCAAGACCTAGGCATGTATTGGTGACAAGGAAACCCTGGGTGCTCCTCGGAGCTGAAAGGCAATGGCTGCATCCAGTTCCCCAAGGGCAGGGGCAGCAGATGGAGCAGGTCACGCTGGCAACCCCGGGGCAGGTTGTTCTGCAGGGTGCAGAGCAGCATTGCACCGTGCCAGGAGCAAAGCCGTGTCCACTCAGAGGGGACGACGTCCCTGGACAGCACAGCAGCCACCAAGCACTCAACTTGGCGGCAGCAGCAGCTCTATCCTGAAGTGCAACACTGATACAACCCGATTCACAAAAGTAAGAAGAGCCCCAAGTCTCCACGTTTAGAGAGCCTGAGATTGTGTTGTGCCTTTCTGGCACTTTCCTGGGGGATCCCGGCTCCTCGGCTGCAGAGGGGAGCTGCCGTGGAGGGGCTCCAAGGTGGGGAGGTGCCGGAGGGTTGCTGGACACTGCAGGGCACCAAGTCCATTTTCTCCATCCCTTGAATTTTAATTCAACTTTTTATTGCATTATCTATCACTCCAAATTTATTACACTTAATAATTAATGGAGAGTAATATAATTACTAAAATTATCAATAATTGATAGACTATATTACTTATTCTGAATTTTTATTCAGTGGGGGAGCAAAGGACTCTCTAGAGTAATGAGAGACAAGACAGAAAATGCAGAGCAGGCTGCATTTCACTTGGGAGACACCACCGCCTTTGAACACACAACCACTTTTCTTCCCTTACCAGACTCTTCCTTGCACACAGCAGGACTACACAACCCTGCATCTCTCAAAATACTGCTTGCAAATCCATCCTGCCAGTTCTGAGCACTGCTTCATCCACACGCCAGGTCCCTGCGCCACCCTGGCACTGGGCTCTTCCCACTGGGAAGATACTGTTGTGAAAACCTGGAGAACAGCTTGGGAAAGACATGAGCATGATGGGCTTTAGGCAATCTCACCCATGCAGGTCCTCTCACACCCTTACATTGCAGCACATACCCCTCAAGCCACATTCCTGTCCCACATATAGCCCGAGTGTCACACACAGATCCAGGTCAGGATAGGGCCCTTTGTACTGAGTGTGTCAAGCAGACAGTGCCCACATGGGCACTAAGGAGCACCCCACGTCTGCTGCTGGGGCACAAACTGATGCTTCTTAATGTGTTGGGATTTGCTCACCCCAGGAATAAAGCAGAGAAAGAAGAGAGAAGGAGAAAAGAAGAAAGGAAAGAAACAGAAAAGCAAGCAGGAGAGGCAGGTCGGAGCTCCCCAAGCTGGATGAACAACTGAGCAGCGCCAGGGGACACTCTCCATCGGCGTTAGCGAGCAGCAGCAGTTGCTTCACCAGAGCAGGGAATCTGTTTGCGCTGGGAGGCCGATACTGCCCTCCCTGCAGGCAGCACCTCCTCGCCCTGCAGCACAACCGAGCGTCGGCACAGACGCGCATGGATCCATATGGGCTGCTGGGCACCTCCCTGCTGGAATCCACGAGCTTCAGCACGAGGATGGGCCCTGGAGAGCCTCATGCAGGGCAGAGAGCTAGAGGTAGAGCTTTCCCAAAAGGATGACAATATTTGAAAATGACCTAATTGGCAGGCTAAAAACCCCTTCTGCTGTAAGGCAGGAGGATTAAGTCTCACTCACAGTTCCACCCGCACAACCAACTTTCCATTTCTCCATATTTCTCTAGTAAGTTAATTGCATAATGAATGCTGGTAATTAGCACGTTGCAAGGAGCCAGGCAGAGCGCTGCAGAGGGGCTCCCGCAGCCGCGCTGACAGGTTAATGCTCCCACCCCAAGTCAAGGGTTTCGGCCCTGCCAGGCTGGGCACCGCACAGGCAGGGAGGGCAGAGCTGCCAACCCAAGGCAGCACCATGTGTGAGAAGAAACTTCTCGAGTTCTTCCTCCTCTCAGCATTAAAGCCCATTCCCAGCCCTGCGCCTTCCCGAGAAACCAGAGGACAGGAGCACTCTCCCTCTGCTTCAGGCACTCCTGCTTCCAGAAACAGGGAAGTGGCACTTTCGGTGCTACTGGCAATTAGAGCACACACCTAGCACGCAATGGCAGGGAGAAGAAAGCAGCAGCCTCTGCTCCAGCCTCCTACAGCTCCCCAGGAAATAAGTGGATGCTGCAGCCTGCTGATTGCAGCACCCAGCGCGTGACGGGCGCTTCACATACCATCAGCACTTCATTTCAATAATATGAAGTTATGCTGCTTGGATAATATTTATGTGGGCCAGATGTGCCTCTCTCCTCACTGCCTGGATGACACACATGTGTATATGATGAATGAGGGTGTTTTCTTTCTTGTAGACCTTTTTTGTTCTTATATGTATACAATTACCCTTGCATTCAAATGTTTTGATATGTAACTAGTATTTATTTCAACAGCAGATTAGGTTTGGACAGCAGTGGTATTTTTTGCATTCCATGACTAAAATCAGTCCCATTTTCCAATGCCAGAATTATTTGCTTTTTCTGACTAGTGAAACTTCTCCAGTATTCCCAGAAAGGATCTCTAGAAGTTGCCAAGACCCTTTACTTAAAAAGGCAAATATGCCAACCGGAGATTCGCTTTTTATTAATCTTAACCAGTGAGGCCTTCAAGCATTTTTAGAAGATAAACATTTTGTAAAACGGCACCCATTTCCTTTACTCATCCAGATAACAACTCTCATACAAACGACAGCTACAACTTTGCCTTTAACTACTCCCATCTAAGGTTTCTGATCCATCCCTAACTTGGTGGATACTGAATGAGAATCCTCTAAACATGAAATATAAGGTAGAAAAACTAGCAACTAGTGAAAGACTTCTGCCCATACATCACACAACTTCAACAACAACTACCAATAAGCGAGTGTTTTCCAAGAAAAGGCTGTGAGAAATGAGTGATGTTCATGGACTGCTTGAACCATGAGTAACAAGAGTGCCAGGTGCCCGAGTTGGACATTAACAGGGAAATGGCAGGAGCGTCAGGCCCGGGCAGGGCAAGGTTCACTGCAAGGCAGCTGCTATCGCACCCAAGACTGGGGCATGGCACAAGTGCCTCCTGCCCACCGAGAAAAAACAAAAGCTTCTTAGCCAGAAAGAAGAGATGGAAACTAGTTTAATTTCTGTCCTGATTACTATTTTATTCACTTCAGTACTTTACTACTTCACTGACTTAAATTAAGGCAGGAAATCAAGGGAATGGGAACAAAATTCACCTTATAGGACCTACAGCATTTACAGCCTTCAGCCAAATTTGACTTGAGATCAGTAGAGGGTTGTTTGCCTTGAACAATTACTATGAAGTGTGCAAGGAGAGCATGTCACTCAGAGACAGAGCCTATTTGCAAAGCTATAACTYAGATTTCAAACAGCTCTAAAGTTGATTTGAAACATTCTAGCCYAGTGAGCAGACCAGGGGTCTGTGGAAACAGGAGCAGGAAACCTTCACCACCTTTGTCCATTTGCTTAAAGCATCAATGTGTAAATGAAGGAGGAGAGAGAGTATGGCAAGATTTTAAGGATTTGGTATGATTTAGAAACTAGATGGAGCTCATATCTAGTTTGCAGAACTGCTGGGGTGACAGAAACAGCAGTAGTAAGGTCATGTCCAACAAAAAGTCCCAAGGGACTCTGAGCCTTACCTTGTGCACACAAGACTTGGCATTCAGAAAGAACAGCTCTACCGTCGTTTTGTCCTTGAGAAAGGAAATGCTCTCAATGTAGAACCTGGAAAAGCAAAAAACAATGTTACTTTCTTGAACACATTTTTCTTCCTCTCARATCATTCTGATTTCCTTAACATTTTGTTCCCTAGTGATACAGAGGAACTATGAGTTACAGCACTTAATTTCCTGTCTATTAGGAGGGAAGAAGCAGAAAATCTTGGGCYGACAGCACACAGGGAAAGACAATCTCCTTATTGAATAGAACATAGATGCTTGATGACTCCTCATCACTTGGAAACCCTGCATATTTCAAAGGAGCAAAACCCATTGCTCCTATGCAGACAGGAAAACACGGGATTGGAAAGGGCAACTGAGAAGGGGAGTTGGAGCTGAGCAACACAGCCCTGAGGCACTGCCAGGACAGACCCTGCCCGGGAGCTCTTGGGCAGGTTGGGAAGGGAAGGTCTGACCAGCAGCTGCTGGGACCAAGTTGGGTAGCCCAATTCTGCCTCTACGTAAGGAGAAAGACTAGATCTTCTAACACTCCCCTGGACACTCAGTTTAACTCACAGGGGTTTATTTAACCTTAGTGGCCAGGCATTGGCAGGGGCCACGCCTCTAAGCTCCACTCCTCTCAAGAGGAATCCAGGGAAGCCTAGCAAGGCAGGCAGCACTGCCAAGGAATGTTCTGAGGAGAAATCTGGAGCCACCACCCACAGCACCCCTGCAAGCCCCGAGCACGTCACCACACTCCAAATCAGCAGTTAATCCCTCTGCAACCTATTAGTCTCCTAAGACATATTCCAGGCAAAATTTGCTACCAGAAGCATAAGTCTACATGACAGTGCAAATGAGCGACACGTGCTGCAAAGGCACTGCCAGCTACATGAACTCAGCGGCTGGCGCCTCCAGCCCAGCCTGGGTGAGCAGATGGCTCCTGGTTTGTGATGGTCCAAGGGACGAGTGCACGGCTGGCGCTCACAGGTCGCACTCAACGTGTCCACATGCTCTGACTCGCTCAGGGCTCCCAGCGCAGCGGCGCCGAGACGCAGTGAAAGGTGCAGGGAAAACACGTCTCTAATTTGTGGAACAGRGAACTGACAAGTGAGTTTAGAGAGAGATAAATTTGTGTGAACACAGCCCTGTCAGTGCTCCTGTAGGTGTATAAAGGCAGGATTCATTTTGAACAGCCAGCTCCTTAAGGTTGATGAATGTTAGATCCAGACTTTCCCACCCAGTGCCAGAAAAGAAGGAATATCCTCTCTTCCTGAGCCAAGTGAAAATGAGGGACAACCACCAGCCTGGCAGCAGAGACCAAGCCAGGGCTGCTTCCTTGCTCACCTTTGATAGCAGGAGGGCTGGATGGCCAGTACAGAGCCCCTGAGCCCTCCCACAGCCCCAGTGCTCCTGCAAGAGCCACAGGTCTCTTAGGAKAGATGATTTGCAAGACGTGGGAAAGTCTGGAGCATGTGGTTGGAGGCAGCAGWTCCAACATCTGCTGCACCTGCCAGGCGCTCACACAATATTTATGCTGCAGCTTGAGACAAACATACATTAAATAGTAATTGCTTTAATATTTCACATTCCTACAGCACATGGCATCAAATTAATTTTCAAGCACTGCACAGAGTGCCTCTGCAGGACAGGGAGACGATGAATTATCCCATTTTATAGGTATGCAGCCTGGCCCAGGCAGACCCCAAGCCCTGCATCCTGCCCCAGGGCTCTGCATGGCCAGTTTATATTCGTTTCCATGACTCACCTTTCCGAGCAAGGAGAGCTGCAGGAGCCCTGTGCAATTCCATCCCCTTTCGATCATATCAAATATCATCTTTTCAACAGCTCTGCTAACCTCCACTTTACAGATGCTRTAATGTTTCTCCACAGAAACGCAGAGCTGGAGCAGCTAAAAGCCTCGCTGACACTCACTTTGCCCTGACCTGCAGCCAGACCAGCACTTAGAAGCTGTTACCCTCCTTAACCTGCTAGAGCCTCGCTCTTCCCACTGGTCTGAAAAGCTAATTTTCCTCAACTAATGGCTTTGTTTGCAGTGTCTATCAGTTAAAGTCAGAAGCAATATAGCTTCCCTCGTAAGCAGGGCAGCACTTGGCCCCTCTTCAGAGCAGGTTCCCCAGATCATGGTTGTTTATGGCACCATAAAGCCCTAATGTTATGTCCTACACCATGCTGAGCATTTGAGGGGTCCACTGGCTTCAGCAGAGCTCTCTTGTAGGCAAGAATCTTCCCCCATTAATTCCTGAGTAAGAAGAGAGTTTCACAGATGCACAAGTGGCAAAGGCTCCATTTTTTTCTAATCTAAAACTACCATAAGCTGCTGAGATGACTCAGCGCAGCCATTAGGTAGAAGCGCTATGGCAGGAAAAATAGAGCACTCAGTCCCCTTAAACCTCATCCAAAACAAACTCATCCGAATAACCAGAGAAATAAATAAAAAAAGAAGTGGCCTAACACCAAACAGAAAAGGGCTCTGCTATTTTTGACAGACACCGGCCCTTGCTGCCTCCCACGCCGAAGCAACACTACAGATAACGTAGGAGGATGTCGGGGAGGCAGGGCCCTCCCCGAGCCAGGGCAATGTGTTTTATTTCTTTGGTGGTACAAGTTGCTTGGCTTTATCACCATGGTACAGGCAGGCAACACTGGACTGCAGAGATAAGGCTGTTCAAGAGACAACAGGCATGTTTGGCAACACAGTAAAGTATATGTTGTGTTTTTATACCTGATGTTGTCATCATCTTAAMCTAGAATGATGCTTTTATAGGTCTGAAAGCAGCATCACCCAGCTCTTCACCAGCTCCATGTACCACACAAAAACCTACGTGACTGCACTAATTTTAGGCCAATTGAAGAAAAGCAACTGAAGCCTGTAAGGATTTCTCATATGCTTCATTACAGAGCTGTGAACCACAGAGGGGCATAAGGAGGTATCTGGGGATCCTCCTGTATTTCCAGAACATCTGATGGAAAGTGGTCATTGCATCACGGAAAAGTGCTGAGAACTGAGGCCCTGGTGCCATTGTCACTGCTTATGAGAGTGGTGGCTTCTCACCCTATCTTGTAATTCTTGCATCTGAGATAAAAATAACTGTGAAACAGTATTTACCCTAAACATGGTTCCATCTATTTTAAATAACACATTAATGAAAGAAAAAAGTATATAAACCACATAAATACTTTCCACTTTCTTGGCGAGTCACTTGCTTTCAAGCAACCAAACTATAATACAAGTAACTTTTTCTCTAAACTTCAAGCTCTAACTCCCTTGAAGTAAAAAGAAACAAAGAGAATTTTCTGTATAGAAAGAGTTCAAGCTGCATATTTTAATCTAAAAATGAATAATTTCAACAACACCAATGACAAGCAATTCAGGTTTTAGAAGAACCACTTTTCTTGAAATTGTTGCAAACAGGATAGTCAAAAATGGGTTTATAAATAGGGTCAATAGCTGGTATTAAATTGGTGCTTTTCATTTTCAAAATGCTGTGCTCTCACTCTAAAATGCACTAAGCATCCCGCAAATAGCAGGAGTTAAGTAATCTTGACACAGGAAACCCATCCAAAGAGCTAGACTGACGCCAAATTAACATTAGTTTGCCAAAAGTTCATTTTAATTGACAGCTCCCACCCAGAGGAATATTAAGCTCAAATTCTGCTATGAGATTCACTTTCCTTCTTGGAATATTCCATTCAGCTCCATGACCTTATTTCACGTACCTAGCCGGGTGGAGTCAAGACCAGATGAGTCAATGCACAGCAGAACTGCTAAATCAGACATTTGCTGGAGAAGTGAACACTGATGACTGAACCTACACTGAAGGGCAAAGGCCTTCCATGAAATGCCAGAGGAGCCTTCCCTTCAGGGCTAGAGCACACGGAGCTGCTCTCAGCAGCAGGGATGCTGTGGGTGCTGCACACGGAGCCCAGAAGGGCCGTCTCAGCCCTTCCTCTGGTGCTGCCTGTTGCTGAAGGCCACTGCAGCTCATGGGACATGTGGAGGGCCACCCTGAAAGCATCATCWGTCACTTTATCTTCATGGTTGACCACTGTCCAGCCCAGGGAACTTGAAGCTGGTTCCTGCCCATCTTCTCCCCCTGCMTGGTGGCCACGGAGGTGCTGCCCATGCCAAGGAAGCCCCTCCTTTGCTTTTCCATCTCCGCTGGGCCACCAAGTGGTGCTCTGAGCATTTCAGCTGCTCATCTRAGAGTCTAATTAAAAGAATAGACTGTGACAGAGCCCATGTGTTCACAAGAGATAAGCGTCTTCTCCCAAGGCACACGCCACAGAGCAAAGGCTCTGAGTCACTTACTTGTCCAAGAGCTCGTGACAAAAGAGAAAGCTGCCAATTTTGAGGCATTTCTGCAGCAATATCCATTTCCAATGGATCAGATAGCTTTTCACTGTTAATTATTTCTGCTTCCTCCTGCTTTTGCCCTGCACAGACTTCTAACTTTCTGCCCACTTGCCTGGCTCCTAATTGCTTGTTTCAGATCCTGTGTCCCAGAGTAGTCAGCCTTAAAATTAACTTCTAGAAGTGGTGGGTTTTTTTTCCAAACTCCTTCTTTAGGCATTAACTCTTGCCCTGCTCTTGAATATTCTGCATTCAAGACCAGTGAAAGCCAAAATCATGACCCAGCATCACTGACCCCAACCAAACAACAGCTCAAGCGGAACTGCCTTTGCAGCTTTCTTAGTCTTCACTCTTGAGATGGTCTTGGCAACAGTTTAACCCCTGGCAAAAGTCACTGCAGTCAAGAGCAGTGTTATCTGGTGAGCAGATCCTCAGAAGGAGCAGAGTCCTTCAGTCCTCCCACGTTGTCATTGCGCGTAGAGGGGACAGCATCACAGTGAAGGCATGGCAGCARCCCGTGGGTAGAACACACAGAAGGGCCTGTATCCAGTTTCATTTCTAGTTAAACACATGAATACTGGATTTTTTAGTGCATTTTTTTCCTTCTGTGGGAAGGTGTGGGAGAGAAGGAAGCTATGAGCTCCATCACAAATAAAAGGGCATAATAAAATAAACAAAAATACTAAAGATAATGAAAAATAAGAGGAAATTCAGCAAACTGTGCTTTTTTTGGAACCATTCCCCTSTGATTAGGGTGCAGAGGATGGGGCAGAGTGCAGGTGCCAAGCTACCAAACTACATGAAAGGCTCTGCTTTGCAGGTGCCTTGAATGATTAAACACCCAACGGATAAATTTATCAAGGCATGAAAGGGGAATGAGGTCAGTTTGCTCTTGTTTTCCTGACAGACTGTGAAGAAAACAAAAACTCCATCAATACTAAGAATACCACATTTATTCTTTTTTTATTTTGCCAGCACAGCTCTGCCAGGTAAGGGCCTACAAAATTATCCTAACCAAGAGAACTTTGCCAGCAAAAACCCTAAGGTAATGCAATGACATAAGCCAAAATCATCACTTTGACGGGGGAATTTTTCTCTCTTGGGCGATGATTTAATCTACAAGAGCAGAGAATCTATCAGCAATCCTGAGTACAGGCTAAGCTTAAGTAAACTTAGAAACAAGAAAAGGCAAGTATAATTATGTGTAAACAAATCGTAATAAAATTCAACACTTTCAAAGAAAACACAAGCAAATAAGGTATGTAAAGTAGGTTTTAAGCAAAGTGAAAAATGATAGCAGCAATGCTCTAATATTTTTTAAAAATCAGCAACTTCCAAGCTACCTTTTTCATATTCATAAATACAAAAGAAAACAGCACTTATTCAGGACTTAATCACCTTCTAAAAATAACATATTGCTTTAATTTCTATTTTCTTTATCAAAACAGTAATCAGTTATTTAAACAAAAAGCTCTGGTGATAAGCAAGCCAAACTGGCAAAGTTTTCTCTGTGGAAACAATTACTCACCTAACTGCAAAGAACAAAGTAGCCGGACCTGGTTTCTTGGGTAAATCATGGTCCAAGACTCTGTGATCCAGCTGGAGCCAGACACTCTGACCTCTGCAGGAACAAATTGGGGAGTCTATTAAAAATTGAAAAGAGGAAACAGACTTTTTTTTCTTCTTTTCCAGTGCTCGTGTTTACTCCTAGTGCTGCTTTAAAAAGTGCTAATCTCAGCTCTGACTGAGGCAGGCAGACTCATGATCAAATGTTTTCTCTTGCCCTAAATTTCATTTTGACACAGTTGGACAGGCTTTACAGATGTATTTTCAGGTGCAGCAGAGAATGTAAAGGATGGAACTCAGGAAAGAATAGGGAGTATTGAACAGCCTGTCTTGGCTATAAACAGGGGAACTACCATCCTCTTCCAAGCAGGCACCACAGCTGGTCACAGCCAAGCAGCAAAGGCTGGAAGTTTGTACCTCAGAGACTGACCTGATGCTCTCTTCTGCCCACATCAGCCCATGCAGCAGCTTTCTGCTCTCACACCCCTGATTATCACGTTTTTAGTAACTATCGGGTCCTGCTGAAAGCCAGAGGGCCTGCCTGCGGGCACCCATTCAGCGAGGCACGTGTATCCAGCACAGCTCCCTCAGCAGCTTCTGAAGGAAAAGGAGAATCCCCCAAGTCCCTGTAAGCCTTTCGGGTCCCTAGAGTGGCAGGGACGGAGGTGAGATGCCAAGCCAGGAGTGGCAGCCTATGGAGCATGGGTGCCCTCCAGAGGCAGCAGGATGGCTGCCCATCCCTGGGCACCCCTGAGGCCCCTGGTGATTTTGGGAAGCCCTGGCAGCACCCTGAGTAAGCTTGGTGAGTGGGGGCTTCAGCAAACAGAAAGCCCCAGAATTTCATGGGAGTTTTCCTGGGGAAGAGCCAAGCGTAAATAGCAACCTCAAGGATTTATCCAAGAAAAACTGGAAGAAAACATCTTCAAGACATGGAAAACAAGGATATGGAAAAATAAATTTGTATATGTAAAGAAAAAATATACTACATTTATAATTTCAAAGTAACACACTATTCCAGGAGGGCTCCAGAGKCAAGTAGCTCCTGACATCACAGCAAAAACCAGCAAGGGGCTTCTGCACCAACACCCCTCCCAGCAGGCACCACAGGGTGACCCAAACCACAATTCTGAGAGGAATTACATCCAAAGACAGGATAAAAGGCAGCAATTTTTTAGCATCTACCCTAATCCTAAGGAGCTCTGCTCCTGTGGTTTGGGGGGAGCTGCAGAGTCAGACCTCTCACAGGGATGCGCTGGCTGGTTAAACATTTTGGTGCAAAGCCAAGCACATCAGTCTAAACCACAACTGAAAGGGTGATTAATCCTGATGATGCTGTAACTCCATGGGCAACAACCTCCTCAGCTGCTCCACTTGCACCGGCAGTGACGCAGCACCTGGAAAGGGAGGGTTGTGCTTTTAAAATCGGGTGCTGCTTTTACAGCTCTTTTGGGTAGTCTGCAAACAGCCCGGATATCTGAAAGTAATCGAGAAGCCGCAGGAAAGCTGTTTAAGGTTGTCCAACTTCTCGCTTTGCTGTTAAGGAAGTTGGCATTTAAAAGGTTCATCAATAATGGATTTAAGACTAATGTGTAAAGTGATTCATTTTGAAAATTTATGTAAATCCTCTTTTTGTTATTAAAAGCACAGAGCAGGAAAGCTTGGGGCACTTGCATGAAAAACAGTAACTATTGATTTTTGTTTTTTAACCTTGTGAGACAAACATGGAAAGAAAAGCATGAAGAAGATATAGTAGAAATACTTTCTGATCTGTTTTGTGGCTTTGCTGTTCCTCAGTCAAAAAACCATCTTTCTTCCTTAAAATAAGTCTTCTTTGCATTATGTTGAGCTGCCATGATGTCTGGGACAGGTTTCTCACTGCAATCATCTTACAGTTGWTTAAAATTAATGAATGTACTTACGTGTCATCTATAAATGTTATCCCAAAATATTCCTTTTCTTTCAGGTTAAAATGTGAGGCCACCAGATCCAGTAACTCTCGAGAYAAAAGCTTGGGCTATTGAAAGAATCAGAATAATTGAAAACATTTTAGTGTAGTTTTTATAAAAAAATTTATAAAAGTTCTCTCTGAAAACACTGATATCAAAGTGAATATAGGCAAGTAGGTAAAAGGCTGGTTGTGTGATACTCAAGTGGTTGCACAAGTGTCTCAGAGGAGCCACACCAAACTTGAGGGCATGGAGAGGCAGTTATGTTACCAACCCACTGCACGAAGTTGAAGCAAATGGACTGAACTACTGCTCCCCTCACTAAAGAGGAGAGGCCTGAACTGGGGCTTTCCTCAGCCTACAACAAGAGGGATCGCTCAGTTGAGAGGATACTGCACCCTAGACTAACTAGGGCAGGTAGAAATCTGTGGGACTTTAGAGCTCACACTTTGTCCTTGGTAAACAGACCCCATGTACTGGTTTTAAGACATTACCTGTGGTCGTGACTCTACCAACTTGTCCAAGTCCCTAGAACTGGCACAATTATGAGAAGCATTGTCCAGAATCAGTTGAAAACCAGTCTGCCCTGCACAAAACCCCGTTCCCGATCCCCAAAAGAGCAGCCTTTACCTGGACCAGCAGTTCCAACTTCCTGTCATCGAGGAGCTGAACCTGGCACTGCCTGCCTTCGGTCATCTGAAAAGAGAGAGAGAGCAGGGTGAAGGCAGGGAAGCAGCTCTTGTTTGCCCAGGACCACGTGTGGTTCAGTGGTGAGGGCTGCAGCAGAGCGTTTAACCTGCCCYGATAACTGCATTGACGCTGCACAAAAGCCACTGTCCTTCTCCAAGGGGCTGGTGTGGGGAGCTGCTTCAGCGCTCCACCCCAGCCGCTCCAGCCTGTAATTAAGGGTGCTTAGCAGCTCTCGGATCAGATCAAAGTGACATCAGTGCTATCCAGAGCTGTRGTTTGAGCTGGTGTTTAATTGGAGGATAAACCAGTCTCGCTAGTGCYATTAGCCCTAAGTGGCAGCAAGGGCCTTTTGCTCTGGTGTTGCACAGAGACAAAGACCTGAGAAGTTTCCACCTGCATCTCCCCAACCTTCCTGCATACAAGTCAACCTGTGTTTGGGCTGCGGACAGGTCTGATCTCCTAGATAGGGTCTCTACTGGCACATTGGATAACTTCTCACAAGTATTAGAAGTCACTTGCTTSATAGGATTTTTATATACATGTCTGCACACTCCAAGACAGATGCTTGAAGTGAGTGATTAAGATGAGGATGAGATTTGCAGCTTCCGACACAGCTGGACTGCCTTGGTGCCATTTCATGTCACATTCATCTACTGCAACCCATTCATCTTCCCCTCTGCAAGAGCAGGACAACTTAGAAATAGCTGCACATTATGTCCTTCAGTATCTGCCCCACGGAACATAATACATTTTCTTGAAAGCTTCTGTATTATTTAAAGTCTGCTCCAACCCTGGCTTTCGCACTGTCATCTAGGGAAGGTAGCAAGGAGGAGACCCAGCTCTGCTGRACTGGTGGAGCGACAGGACCGACTCCAAAGGAGAATCCAGCCACAAGTGTTCCTATGAAGGTCCGGAATTGAGGTAGACATCTCCTGGCATCGCCCTGGTCCCAGGGYACTGTGTGTTCCCAGCTCCCATCCTGCCACCAGGCTGTCCCACTGCTAAGGGTCGGATCCAACAGCACGTTCAAATCATTCTCCATCTGTTGCCCTGAGATAGCACCAGGGTTGCCATTATTTCATTGCAAGCTGCTTTAGCTTTCACCCGGCAAAATCACATCAATCACTTCTGGTTTAATTGCCACACTGGTCTATTGTGGAGTAAAAGAGATTTCTATTGTAAAAACAGAAATAAAACAAACTCACACACATACATGAAAGATTGCAAGAAAGATTAAAACAAAAAAGGAATACCAGCCATAGCGTGTGCTTCTATTGAGGTAATCTGCTAGTGCTTTGGAAATGAAGTAATTAAACCTCACGCCACCCCAGAAGGCAGAAAGGGGCAACTACCCCTGGTTTTGTAGGTAAGGATGGTTCAGGGCAGCGGCTCCGGCCGCAGAACCTCGCGCTCGCTGCGGGGCTGCTGAGAGTGAAGCAGGCTCGTGGAGCTGAGCCTGGGGCCGTAGCCTACACATGTGCGTGAAAAAACAGTCCTTGATTTCCTCCAGCAACAAACTCAAAAACAAAAACAAAAAAAAAAAAAAAAAGAAAAAGGAAGAAGCCTTAAACTAATGCACGCTAACGTGAACCACTGCACCAGCACCTTGCTGCAGGTAATGTTTCCCTCACGCAGTCCCCTCTGCACCCGTGAAGCCAGAGGCACCGGGGCGGCCGGGACAGGGCCGTGGCGCGGGGAGCCCCAGCTTCGCAGCTGCAGGATCCAGACCCAAAGCGTCACGGTGCCGAGCAGGACCGGTGCCGAGCGCCCCATGGACAGAGCTGTTGCCCCCTGTGAATTCCCCAGGATTTGGCCACGTGGCCCCAGAAGCGCCAGGCTCCTCRGACCAGGGCTGTGCCCTGCAGCCCCGGGCAGCCACACGGTCATCCTCGGCCGGGGAGCGCTCGCCAGTCCAGACAGCACCATTGATTTCCTATCTAGCTGGAACAATCAATCACAGGTCGAGCACGGCTGTCTGGCTCAGCTATGAGGTAAGTAATACAAGCAGTCTTGATATATATAAGTATATATGTACATATCATCCATGTTTCTAGCTTGTTCTCATTGATTTTGCATTTTCCATGCAAATGAACAATTTAGTTATATTTTTGCAATGCGCACCCATGCTAGCATTTTCAGCAGTTATTTTTAAAAGCCTAATAATATTTAGCTAAAGCAACAGCRTAAAATTCATTAAATACCCCTCATCTCATTCTGCTTGGGAAATGAGTGGAGCAACGTAACGCAGAGCCTCATTTCTTRGCTAAGCTGCAGCAAGATGCTGCATTCTCATGGTTCCCAAGTCATCTGTATGCTCTACGCACAAGTAAGCRGCATAAACCAGCTTTATGCAATGAAAAAAAATAGAGAGGAATGAAAAGGAGAGGAAAACAGCATCCCATGCAATGTGCTGGTGTTCTGGCAGCTCCGCAGGCCTCCTGACACACAGGCAGGAGCTTCTAGCAAGGTGATTTATGTGGCTCGTCCATAGGAGAGGAATGGAGGGAAGGAGAAGGAGTGCAGAATTCCTGCAGAAAGCAGATGTGTAAAAACTGAAGTATCAGGTGAGTTTTGAATCCTTATGGCAGGCTAAAATATCCAGCAAGGTTTCACTGTAGCTGGGAATACGGATGAAATGAGAGGGAAAAGGCGAAGTTGGGGACTGAGCAAGTCTGTGGCAGCTGCACCGGCCTCGGCCGAGTCCTTCAGTGCTGTTCACTGAGCAGCACTCAGGGAAAACAGAAAAATGTGGTTTTTCCTTCATCTCGCTAGTGACACAAAAATTAAGGCAAATTCTCCACATAAAGCTACAGCAGCAGCTTTTTCTAAAAAGCCATTCCCTTAAAAGCCTCCTTCTTGGCTACATAAACCAATTCCCTGTGATATCCTGAGCCTGAATGTTTATTTGGAGGAAAAAAAAAGAGAAAAACAAAAAGCTGCAGGATATTTAYGCTATTTCTCTTCAGCAGTAACATCCTCCCTATCTGAAACCAGTTGTTATACACAGTATTTTTAGACATCCATGTGTGTCATCAACTCAGGAAAAAATAAGAAAAGAAGTAATTTGACAGTGTGTAAACAGGAAATCTTCAAAAAAAGAAAAATAAGAGTCAAAAAAAGGAGGCTGACAGAAYTGCATGTCTCAGGAATGGGAAATTATGAAAGGTTCAGGTCAGAATCAAAAGCAAATGTGTTGCACACCCTGCACCTCTCCTCCAGTTTGTTCCTCTAGAACAAGCCAAATTACAGACCCTCATCCCATGGCCGTGCTGGCCTTATCTGTCACCAACTCCTATTTTTGTGGCTTATTTTAAAATAGTCTGGAGACTTCTCTACCAGAGAAAGGCAAAAAAAAAAAAAAAAAACCACACCCTCCAACAACCTCGTGGCCAAATAAAGGATTTTAAAGAAGCTTCATATAACTGAGGCCAAACTGGTCTAGTAAAACCAAGGGCCATATCCCCTGCCCTACACTTGGCGGCCACCAGCTCCACACGGCCACATCTGTCAGTCCCGATACGCCAGGTCCTACAGAGCTCTGTGCACAGCGTGGCTGGGTCTACACACGTGGTCTATATGTTGCCATCCATAGAGGCATCCATAGGTCCCCTCCAGTTGCAGYAGCCGGCAGCAAGGAGGCTTTTCCACTCAGCCAAACCATTCACATGCAAGAAATATTTTCAAGCTTGAGGCTGAAATCTTTATACCAAGAGATCTCCTTGAAATAGGAAACCTCTTCCGTGGCTTCTCTTCCCCTCGGGGTAAATCCTGTTGCTCAGGCTCACTCACAACCAAGGGCCCACGGCAGGTTTCCAGAAAATACCTGAGTGCAACACAGGGGACTTGGCCCCAGCTGCACAGCCTCGTACGTGTTATTTCCATGGGCAACTCTCTGGGTAACCGCATGAAGCTGAACCTCCCTGTCCATGTGGGGAAGGTCCAGAGATGCTTTACACACAGAAAAGCAGCAGCAGGCACAGGCTGATGAGCAATAAAGGGGACTCTTTTTCATTTAAATAAGCAGTCAATGCACAAAGCCAAATACATATGTTTAAGGAGGGAAAGCAGAGGCTGCCATGTRCCATTACAGCACAGCTGTAAAAACTGGATCATTTATTCCTCCAACAGGCTCTGTTGATGCCTAAACTCTTACTCTTATGGTGCCTAAATGAGCCAGAGAACTGAAAAAATACTAAGGGCAATAAGGAGGGAAGAGCAGCAATATCTCCTCTCACTTGCATGATGGAAAATGTTTGTTGGGAAATATTGTCCCTTTGTCACAGTTTCCACTTCCACCAGGAAAGGTTGTAGCCTGTGGAAGCAGGGGGAAAGAGGACAAAAATCCCAGTCCCTTGATTTTTARGCTAGTAATTCATATGGACCCAAAGAAAAGTCAGTGTTTTTCTTAAACAAGGATTTCTTCTCCAAATTCCTACCTGAGCTGCAGTTAACTAGCTATAAACCTAAACCAGTAATTTCCTGCAAGGGGATTTCTCCAAACCTCTCTTCTGTAACTCATAAGCCTGTAAAGATTTTAAAGATTTTAAAGCTTGCCATTGAAGCCCGTAAACTGACCTCAGGTTTTCATCAGCCTTTGGGCTGGTTTTCAGGCACAAAGGCACTTGGGCAGCGATGCTCAGCTGGGTAAGACCAACATGGGCTCTCCAACCTCCCTGCACAGGCCAGCTTGTGACGGGCACTGGCTGCTTAAAGAAAGGAAGAGACACGTGAGTCTGTAACGCAACCTGGAGCTGCCCTAACGTGCCTGGGGGCATCTCACGTAAGAGCCGTGCTGACCAGCCCTGCTGCGCGGAAGGAGCCTGTGTGCAGAAAGAAAACCAAGGTTGTAAAACAGTTATAATGCTTTAAATGAGCTCAGAGTTTCCTAGAGTGTCTTCTGGGAGCGCAAAGCCGAGTCATGATCCAATGCTCAGGGAATCACTCGGAGCTTTATGAAATAATCCCTGCAATAACAAACAAGAGCTTGGTTTCATAGCAGTATTTCTATGGAAACTTCTTAATAGGGCCAGACAGGTCTCCAAAAATGCCTTGAAAAAAATGCTTCCTTGGAGCCATTCGCAGCCTACTGGTCCTCACTGAGGCACCAGGGAGCAGGTGTCCCACAGCAGGAATTCTCTCATTAACTTTAACAGGGCCAAGATTTTGCCTTAAATCATTTGTTATCTTGCTGTTAACCTTAGCAGAAGTCACTGCCTGTTTGGTATAAAGCAGCTGACAAKGCAGTGAGGTGCCTGGCTGTTTCTCCCACCTTGTGCTGCAGAAACCCACCTTTTGCTGGACTCCTCTCCTCTCCCAGGGTGATTCCCTGCGCACATCCCATCCTCACCAATCCCGGCAGCTCAGGAGGMGGCCTGGCAGGAAACCCCTCATGCAGAACCTGAGAGGTTCCCCATGCAGCTTGTCCCATGGAAYAGCATCAACACYRGGGCCAGGTATTTGTTAAAGGCCCMTTTTCTAATATGACACARGAGYAAGGTTTTAAGATGAGGACAAGCATGGAGAACTCACTTAAATGCAAGCTGATACAAAACATCTCTTTGCTGATTATTTTCCAAATCTTGGCTCTGTCAAGTTTTGGAAATGGGCTAGAGAGAAAACATCCTGCCTGGGACTGGAGGCCCAAAGGCTCCCTGGGTTGCATGGCACCTTCCTAAAATAGACCCCTGAAGGAAAGATATGAAGAGCAAGCTGGCTCCTGCTGAGCATCACTGACATTCACAGAAGCCCCACCAGCTGAGCCAGGAAAGAACAGGCAGAGCAGCAGCCCAAGGGCTCCCCCTCACTGCCCGCAAGTGGTTTTTCAGGGCCAAGTGCCAATACACTTCCCATACACAATCCTCCTTGTSCCCCCCACGGGTTTATCCCAGTGTTTCTCATCGCAGGGATGGCCAATCTTGGGCACTCTTTGCTTGTATTTTATTCCCCGCTAGTTGATTCCTGCAGGAGTGTAGCCAAGGCTTGCTGTGATCAGYAGGAAGTTCCCAGTGGCTTGAGCCAGTTTAGGGGCTTTAAATCTCTTCCCTTTCCCCTAAACACTCAAATGTGAAAGGCATCAAAATGACAAAACAAGTGACAAATTAAAACCCAAGGACCAAAGGAAACCTGCCATCCTCGGGACGCCAACTGCAGTGCTCCAGCCCTGGTAAAGTCTCCTCTGCCAGCAGCAAAGCAGCCAAGGGATAGATGCTGCTTCTAGGTCTCTACCAGGAGCACATAAAGAGCTAATCCCTTGGCACCCCCACAAGGTAACGCTGCAACTTGGTCCTCGCTGGGGACCCATGTTCATGCCAAGGGTGTTACTGAGAGAGCCTAAAACCCTCTTCCAAGGGAAGAGCTTAATAGTCTTCTTAGAGGAGAAGCCCAGTGCAGGACCCTTCTTGATTTAGATCCTTCTTGATTTAGATAAAGGTCTCCTTTTCAAAGCCAGTGTCTTTCAAACAGCTTATGTAATCCCACTGCTGTTGATATCATTGTTACAGCCTTTCATGGTGTTCACAACAAAAGAGACAGGCAACTTATACATGGGCCCCTAAACTCTACAGTTAATCCTAAAAATCAGGAAAATGAATAGGAAGCAATCAGCACAAATCTGCCTTAAGTATCAAGTCAATGAAATACTCTACAGAACAGCTGCCATCCTTGGTGGAACAGAGCTAATGAATTAGTGCCTGTTACAGACTTGCCCATCGCACACGCCGGAGACCCGCAGGAGACCCTCAGGTAGAAGTTGAGGAGCACAGCCAGTCGGGGCTGTGGAGACGAGCAAGCACCTCGGCCGGCACTGAACTGGCCAACACGGATCTGGGCTGCTGCACGCTCTGCTTTTGAATCCAAACAAGCATTTCTCATCAAAGGCCCTTTCTGGAGGGCTGCTAACGAGCTCCACAAGCCCTTCTGCCAACCTGCCGGGGGGAACGGGGATCTCACTGATGAGACGCTGCAGTTAYGGGCTGAAAGGAGCTTCTGTGCCAGGCACCGGCTGCCCTCACTCACCACTTATGAATTTGGGCTTTGTTCATTTCAAATCATATCTCAGAGCAGCCTACAACGGTTGTAGGTGAAGACACGTTTCTCTGTGATCCCGAATTACAAACCTGGGCTGCAGCCGCAGCAGCCAAGTTGCCGGAGCCCAGCCTCGATTTAGAGCTTTCCGAAAGCAGCCGGGCCAGCCCTCACACAAAGGCAGGAAAAACCAGCTATAAGTGCAGAGAGCAAACAGGCAGCCCCTCACCGCCCTGCTGGGGTGCACAAAATGCAGAGAAATTGTTACAGATCAGCCTTTCAGAAGGGAAAGAACAGGCAGAAAGCAAGAAGTTTTTGGTCTGCACGACGCAAGCAGCCACAGAGCAGACTCCCCCTCTGCTTTCTGCTCCGTGCMCCCGCTGCTCTGCCGGGGAGCCGGGGCACAGCCCGGCAGCCCAAACTGCTGCTGCAGCGTGGCCAGAACCCAGCCCAGCCGCTTACCTCCAGCACCGCGGTCACTCAGAGGTGGGAGAAGCCCAGGGGGCACAGGGGGCTCATAGACTAATCCTTGATGTTTTCTGTACATTTGAGCTGGGGAAGAAAGGAGACACGAGCGGGGCCCTCTTCCGTTGCCATATAATCTCAAGGAAGTGACTTTAGCATTTGTTGCTTTGATTACAGATTCGGAAACAAAAGCCCTTCCAGCATGAGTCAGGGGACACAAGATGTTGAAATGTGATTGCTGCAAACAGGGGGAGGGCCAAGCTGGGGAAGCATTGCTTTTTTTTTTTTTTTAATATTAACCCATTTATTATGAACAAGAGTCAAGTGAAAAAGCCRCAAGATGGCTCAAAGGCAAGAAGCCAAGGCACCTGTGGCTCTCTGCAGGCCCACAGGCTCCCCACCAGCCATCATTTGTTTGTTGGGAGCTGTCAGAAACCTCCAGCTCTTCCTCATCCTGGTGCAGGGATAGAAGGGGTTTCTATGGCCAAACATGGTACAACCCTGGAACCTCAAGCTGTCTTTGCTGCCCGGGCTGCTAGGTCTCATGTTGGGGTGTCCCAAGCACCCACTGTCCTGCTGGGAGCCCAGGCGAGTTCCCAGGAACAGCTCGGTTGCTTCTCACCAGTAGCTGAGAAACCACCTCACAGAGCCGGGTACAGTTTCAGAAGTATCACTGTTATCCAGCTCAACAGGTTCCAGCAGATTATTCTCCCCAAGCCAGCTAAAGTCACACGTGACCACGGAAGCAGCCAGCCTGTAGTTCCCTGCTCCACTGGTATCTCCAGCAGCAGAACGYAGAGACGGCTGCTGTGACGGGCGCCCTCCAGCTAGGCACCAACCTGGAGCAACGGGTGCCTCCTTGGCCGGGCAGCTCCCCACATTCCCAGGCTGTCTCTCAGAGCCCGTCTGCCCTGCACTGGCTGGGGCGAGCTCCCCTTGGCTGGTTCTCAGAGAAYTGGAATTGCAGATAGAGAAATCACACCCTTGGCCTTGGCTCTGCCTTGGCTCTTGCCTTCAGGAGCCAGGGCCACTCTCTAGGACAGTTGGAAAGAGAGGAATAAGGCATCTCACTGCTCTTCCCTTGACAGCACTGTTTTTTCACATGTGTGCAAAACATCAAGTTTTACTTAAACCATTCAGCTGCACTGCCTGATTCCTTCCCTCCTAACACATCAACCTGCAAGACCTCAGCCACCTCTGGGGATTTGTCTTTCCAGCACGTCAAAGAGCACAGGTATCGCGCTGAGGCTCCAAAGCTGAGCCTGATCATGGGGAAATAAGATGCTGCAAAGGGCTGAAACCCYGACTATAGAGCCGTGATGCTGCTGAGCAGGAACAGGTGGGAGCTCTGGACACCAACCACAGCAAGTCCACCCCAGGACTGAACACCRCTGCTCCCCGGGCTGAGTCACTTGYGCTGCAAACTGCTGAGAAACCCCTCTAACTGGGACAGCAAACTGAAGACTTTCCCACCCCAGCTTTCAACACCTATGGGCTGCAAATTTTAATGCTAATAGAAAAAWTAAGAAAATTTTAATATATGGAATGAGCTGAGTCCTCACACTTGCTTTGATTAGGAAGAGAAGGGCGACTCTCAGCTCTCCTGAGGCATCAGCTCTCCTGATCCAGCTGCACTCCCATAAATAGGATGTGTCCCTCCCATCTGATGCCAACAGCTGGAGCCTTCCAAACACTCTGCAAATGTTTTATGATAAGTCATGAGCTGGCACATTGCTGGTCCAGGTTTAGCCAGCTGCAAATCCATCCTATACCAGCAAATTAAGGGGCAGCAGTTGCGATAATTTTAGAAAAGTAATTCAGAGAAAGAAAYTTGTGTCTGTCTCCAAAATAAAGAATTCAAAGCCACAAAATAAGATGGAAAATAGACAGTGAGTCATTTTTCCTTAGAGTAATAACGTGAAGGTTACCTGGGTGGTGCCAACTTCTGCCCTGCTGGAATAACAACAGGGACAGGAATAGTTGACATATGGAAAGAGTAAAAAGAGCACAGAAAAGAGCCTTGGAGGAGCCACCACTCCCAAACAAACACCCATCTGGGCTGCATAATGCAGCTCTACCCTGGGACACAGACAGTTTTTCTAGATGAA